CCGGGAGGGGACGCGGGAGGGGACCCGTGCAGTGGGGCAGAGTCCGAGACAAGCTTCCCTCACAGACGTGAACGAATGCGCGGAGGGCAGCCCCTGCTCGCCCGGCTGGTGCGAGAACCTCCCGGGCTCCTTCCGCTGCACGTGCGCCCAGGGCTACGCGCCCGCGCCAGACGGCCGCAGCTGCCAGGGTGAGCTCTTGTCTCCTGGCCGTGGACAGGAGTGGGAAAAGGGTAGCAGAAGCTTGAGACAGCTCCCCCATCCTGGCACTCTGACACACATCCTATGCCCTGCAGATGTGGACGAGTGTGAGTCTGGGGATATGTGTGACAATGGCATCTGCACCAACACGCCAGGCTCCTTTCAGTGTCAGTGCCTCTCTGGCTATCATCTGTCAAGGGACAGGAGCCGCTGTGAGGGTAAGGAGGGCCTAGAGCTGGGGTGCTGACCTGTTCCTACCCCACAACCTTCACTGCCCAGGCCCCAAGTCCAGGAGATGGTAAACAAGCCAGGCGTTCCCATATCCCACCCCCATCCAGATCCAAGATGGGGCATGGAGTGTGGCCCCGCCCTGGGGCTTTGCAGGGAAGCCTTGGCAGCCTCAGGCTGTGTGAGGGGGTCAGCCACTGAGATTCTCCACCTCTTTGATCCCCTACAGATATTGATGAGTGTGACTTCCCTGCAGCTTGCATTGGGGGTGATTGCATCAACACCAATGGCTCCTACCGATGTCTCTGTCCCCAGGGGCACCGGCTGGTAGGCGGCAGGAAGTGTCAAGGTATGAGGGGGATTGGGTGTGAGCTCCTGAGGAGGAATGGCAGGGAGCAGTAATCTTCTAGACACATTGTTGACCTGTCTGTCTTTACATTTATCCGTCCACTCAGTCCTCCTTCCATTCTTTCACTTAGAACAACAGCAACAATGACAGTAATTATGAGGTGCCTACTATGTGCCAAATCACCCTTACATGTATTCATACAAGAGTTTACTGAGAACGTACTATTTGCCAGGTGCTGTACTATGTACTAGGTATTGAGCAATGACCCAGGGCTCCCAGCTAGGAGAGGCTGATGTGTAAACTGATTCTTACAGTTCAGGGTGCTGGGTGTCAAAAGTGGTCCGGACTAGTGATTAATTGCAATGGAGTGGTGACAGTTGAATCAAAACCTGAAGCATGAATAGGATTCCCTAAAGCATATGTGTTCCCTAAGCAGAGAGAGAAGCATGGGATGGTATTCCAGGGCCAAAGACAGCATTTGCAAACCACAGAGATCCGGAAGGAGCTAGTTGTGTTTTTAGGAGAGAGTAGACACCTGTACCCTAAACATATACTAGAGGGTGTTGGTGGTTTAGAGTAAAAGGTGATGAGACTTAAAGATATTGGAAGACCAAAATGAAAAGTTCTCAAATGCTGAGCTGAAAGTTAGGATTTCATTCTGTTGTCAGTGGGAGCAATTGAAGGTTTTATGAAGAATAAAGTCTGCCTCTGTTCACATATCTACCCACATGCAGACAAACAGGAGAGGACTTCCTATTGTGTGTACTTTGAAATCAAAGTGAAAATTCGGTTTCTGAACTTGTGTGAGTCCCTTGAGGCTCACCCCCAGGGTAAGGAGCTGGTTTCCCTCTGAGAAGCTCTTCCTCTCCCTCTCTCCCCAAAGACATAGATGAGTGCAGCCAGGACCCGGGCCTGTGCCTTCCCCATGGGGCCTGTGAGAACCTGCAGGGCTCCTATGTCTGCGTCTGTGATGAGGGCTTCATGCCCACCCAGGACCAGCACGGCTGTGAGGGTGAGTGCCTCCCAGTCCCTCCTCTGACCGGGGCGACTGCCCTGAGCTGCAGCTGGGGGTCAGAGATGTATCCTGGTCCCACCCTCAGGAATTTGGGGAACAGGGAGAAATCTCTTTTGCCTGGAAGTGTCCAGTGGGGCCACACCTGGCAGGATAGCCCCAAATGCAAGTTTGAGGATGGAGCTTGGCTATAACTGGGTGGCTCTGAGGAGCCAGGGAATGTGGGGAAGCAGAGGGAGGAGGTTGGTGGGCAGTGTGGACAGGAAAATACAGTCTGCAGGACCCTAAGCAGCCCTTTCCTCCCCTCAGAGGTGGAGCAGCCCCACCACAAGAAGGAGTGCTACCTTAACTTCGATGACACGGTGTTCTGCGACAGTGTGCTGGCCACCAATGTCACCCAGCAAGAGTGCTGCTGCTCTCTGGGGGCTGGCTGGGGAGACCACTGCGAGATCTATCCCTGCCCAGTCTACAGCTCAGGTCAGGAGACGGCAGGCCCTTTCCCTTCCTAGAGCCTGTTTTTTCATTAGGAAATGGGTTGGGGGAAATGAAGTGGAGAGCTCCCACCTGAGCCACAGCCAGCACACAGGCACATGCTGCTCAATCCTGCCTCCTTCCTTCCGCTCTCATTCCATAGCTGAGTTCCACAGCCTCTGCCCAGATGGGAAGGGCTACACCCAGGACAACAACATTGTCAACTACGGCATCCCAGCCCACCGGGGTAAGCTAGGACAGGGCTCCGCCCACCAAGATTTGGACCTTCCCCAACCCCCAACGGAGCAGGTGATTGCGTGGCCCCACCCACACCACCGTAGTCCGTCCAGCCCCCCCACCAAGCCCCACCCATCACTCACTGTCAGTGCAGGAAAGGCCTCACCCACTGAGTGCGCTCTGCTCTGGTGGTAAGCCTGGTTTACACGTCTGGGGATTGCCAGAGCTCAGTGGCCCCGCAGGTAGAGGCCGCTGGGCGCCCATGGTTTGTCACTTTGCAGACATCGACGAGTGCATATTGTTTGGGGCGGAGATCTGCAAGGAGGGCAAGTGCGTGAATACACAGCCCGGCTACGAGTGCTATTGCAAGCAAGGCTTCTACTACGACGGGAACCTGCTGGAGTGCGTGGGTGAGTGCAGCCGGCCCGGTGGTCAGGACAAAGCGGCCAGGAGACACGCATGACTCTGGGCCGGCTGCTATCCCTTGCGCTTTCCTCCCCGCAGATGTGGACGAGTGCTTGGATGAATCCAACTGCCGGAATGGAGTGTGTGAGAACACGCGGGGCGGCTACCGGTGCGCCTGCACGCCCCCGGCTGAGTACAGCCCGGCGCAGCGTCAGTGCCTGAGCCCCGAGGAGATGGGTGAGGCCGAGGCCTGCTGGGGAACAGGAGGAAGGGGGGGCTGGGACAAGCTTTGACCATCACACCCAACCATCCCTCGCTGTCCTAGATGTGGACGAGTGCCAGGACACCGCAGCATGCCGCCCTGGCCGCTGTGTCAACCTACCAGGCTCCTACCGCTGCGAGTGTCGTCCACCCTGGGTGCCTGGGCCCTCGGGCCGAGACTGCCAGCTTCCCGAGAGCCCGGCTGGTGAGGGCGAGGGTCCTCCTGGGCTGATTCCAGGGCTGCCTGCCATGTGCAAGCCCCAGGGCGTAGGCGTGTGGTCCTCGCTTTGAGCTTTTCCCTGATGCCTGGTCCGCTTCCGCAGAGCGCGCCCCGGAGCGGCGAGAGGCGTGCTGGGCCCAGCGTGGAGACGACGGCATGTGTGCAGGACCCCTGGCTGGGCCCCCGCTCACCTTCGAGGACTGTTGCTGTCGCCAGGGCCGCGGTTGGGGCGCCCAGTGCCGCCCATGTCCACCCCGTGGCGCTGGTAAGCTGATCAGAGAAGGGTTGCCCAGAGAGTAGGGGGGCAGGAGCGGCGATGCATCGGTCGTGCTGACCACTGACTGCCCCTCCCAGGATCCCAGTGCCCGACATCACAGAGTGAGAGCAATTCCTTCTGGGACGCGAGCCCCCTACTGCTGGGGAAGCCACGGCGAGGTGAGTGTAGCGGGGGGCAGAGCGGACAGAAGCAAGGGTCACAGCCATTGCCGGGGGCGGTGCTGACATCTGTGTTCCGCCGCGGGCGCAGAAGAGGACAGCTCAGAGGAGGATTCGGACGAGTGCCGCTGTGTGAGCGGCCGCTGCGTGCCGCGGCCCGGCGGAGCCGTGTGCGAGTGTCCGGGTGGCTTCCAGCTCGACGCCTCCCGAGCGCGCTGCGTGGGTGAGCTGGGTGGAGGAGGGCGGGGGGCGGGACGGGGCCCTGCCGAATCCCGCTGGGACTAGAAGCAAAGGGAGCTGTGTAGCTCTGGCCCCCTCGACACGCCCACACCTGTCACCCCCACCTCCAGACATCGATGAGTGCCGAGAGCTGAACCAGCGCGGACTGCTGTGCAAGACCGAGCGCTGCGTGAACACAAGTGGTTCCTTCCGCTGCGTCTGCAAAGCTGGCTTCGTGCGCAGTCGCCCGCACGGGGCCTGCGTGCCCCAGCGCCGCCGCTGACACTACCTTCCGCCGGGACCTCAGCGATCACTGAGCGGTTCCGCCGGACACTGGGGCGAGCTCAGCCTCTAGCTTCTGCCCGGACATGGGGCTCGGACCCAGGGACCCTTCAGGCCTGTAGACCCCTTCCAGAGCCCCGTGTCCCAAGGGTGCCCATCCAGCTCCACAGGTTTACAGGTGGATGTTGGGTCTCCCGGGCGCTGCCAGCATTCCTCCCAGAGGGTGTTCCCTAGAAACTGATAAATCAGATCGTGCCTCTTTACTCTTGGCTTTGGAAGCAAATTGTTATGTTCATGTCTGTGGTAGGCACGGACTTTGCAGGGCAGCGCCAGACCCTAGCCTCCTCCGAGGGCCTAAACTGAGCCCAGCACAGGGAGTGTGAAATAGAATTTATTGTGGCTCTGATTATGTACATGTGAGAGGTGCCTGGCCGGGGTGGCCAGGCTCGCATGGTTTGTACAATAAATACATCCATGGGGCCTGCTCCATGGCTGGGAAGCACCCACACCAGCAGTTCAGTCCAGCTTCCGGGTCCCCAGCTTCATGGGGCCCTTGGCAGCCTTCTTCTCAGCACGTTTGGCTTCCATCTCCCGCCGACGCTCCTCCCGCTTCTTCCGGGCCAGCTCAGCCTTCACCTGCCCTGGAACAGGAAGGGGAGGCGAGCTGAGGTTCCTCAGGACAACCTGGGTCTCAGATTCCCAGCCCATGCCCGCTAGAGGGGTGAGGTTAGGATTGCCCTAATGTGTCAGCTCTCCTAGGGGAAACACTTACGGCTCTCAGTCTCCAGGCCATCCCAGTTGTCATCACCCCACGAATCAGGTCTTGGCTGAAAAGGAAGCATGGACTGAAATAGAGATCAGCTCCCTGTGGAGGTCCATCCCAGGTCCACACCCTCCCACTGGACTAGTGTTGAGTACCTGGGTACCAACCTCCCGACGCACCACCAGGTCAGCAAAGGGGTCGCCTTTGTCACTGGGCTCTGTTCCACCCCAGTTATACTCGCTGGTCAGCTGTGTGCCCTCAGGGGGTGGCTCCTGGGAACTTGGCTCCTGCCAACCCTGCTCCCATGAGCCCTCAGCTTCCCAGCTGCTCCAGTCCGACTCAGGGGATTTGTGGTCAGGGTTGTTGGTCTGCAGAAGAGAAGGGGGAGGTAGCACCAGACAGGGAGGGAGGGGCCATGCCCGCTTCCCATGCATACACACATCCTGTCCCACCTGGCTCACCTGCCCAGCACGGCTGGCTTGGCCCCCAGTACTCCAGTTGTCCTGCTGGGCTAACACAGACTCGGCCTCCTGCTACAGTGTGGAAAGGAGAGCAAGACTATAGGACCCCCACACACCCCTAACCCAAAAGGGCAAAGAAGCCCTCGGCCCCTTCCTAGCCATGGGTTCCACCCCGTTTTGCCCTCCACCTCTTTGCTCCTCCAGCCCGGCGTCACATCTATAAGGTACACACATTGAATCTGGTCTGCCATCACTCCTCTATGAGGCTAGAGATGAGATCTAGAGTTCCACACTCCTCCCCATGGCTTAGGGGACCAAAGACTGCTGTCAGCCAGATGGGGAAACTGGGCCCAGAACTTTGCCTCCACTGCCTTCAGCAAAGCCCCACTCCATCCTCAGCCTGTCCTGAACCCACCTCCCCCAGGGAGCACCGGTCTGGTTCTAGGCCTGGGAGTGGCCTCTCCTTGCTGACCACTGGGGCTAGCTGGGCACTGAAGCAGGGGGAGGGACAGAACAGACGGGAGGAAGGAAGATCAGTGGGCTGCTCCAACTAGTGCCCTCCCGGCCTCTCATTTCCCACTCTGCTGTCTGGAGTTGAACAGAGCTCAGCTGCCAGCTCTGGCCCACAATGGCCACTCCATGATGCCTACTCACCAGGGATACTGTGCAGATGAGGACAGGCCTGATGCAAGCCACATGATCCCGTTGAATGGCAGCCTGTGACCTTTAAGCTGGGGTCCCCTAGGGAGGCCTCCTCAGCCCCACTCACCTCCAAGCTACCCCAGTCTTCGTCATCCCATCTGTCGGCAGCACTGCTGTCCTCTGTTGTGTCCTTGCCCTGTTCTTGTTCCTCCCAGTGTCCTGAGGTAATGGGAGCGGGAGGGACAGGGGTGGGAGCCGGGGCAGGAAGTCCTGGGAAGCAAAGATTCACTGAGTTCCCACACACTGGGGCCCAGAAAAGTCTCGGAACAGGGCAGAGGTTGCTGGGGGTGGGAGCAAGGCATAGGGAGGGGAGGGAAAGCTCACAAGGGGATTAGACCCTACCCTGTCCCCTATGTCACCACCTCAAGGGGAGCCAGACAATAATAGCTCCTGGGCGCCTGCCCTCTAAGCTCTCTGTCACTGATGTAGCCAGCCTGGGACACTCACCCTCAGGTGTGGGTCTTTGGGAGACGTTGGGTTCACCTGGGGCAGCCGTGGGGTGTGCGCGGATCAGCTTGGAGGTAAGCGAGGAGACCCCTGTCACGGCCCATCCTGCCCAGCTGGCTGCGGCTCCTCCCATCCCAGGGCTGGAGGCTGCATGGACATCCTTCTCTGGGCAATGATAGGAGAGACAGGTATAGGCACCTCAGGTGTCCATGGGGAGTGTGATAGGGCAATAAGGGAAAAAAAGGAACCTGTAGTGGGCACCCCTTCTCCAGGCCTGCCTTCTCTCATCTCCAAGATGGGGGGGTGGGGAAAGTAGTATCAAGTCTGCTCTCTAGGGTTCTTCCAGCTTTCAGATAGTCCAATGACGTGGAAGGGGGCCACAACAGGAGACAGTCAAGGATGCAGCAGGAGGGAACATGAATGTGAGCTACTCACCCACTTCAGCCAGCTGGGTGGGGTCCTCTGACACAGACTCCAGTTTGGAAAGGAAACTTCGAATGGCCTTGAAGGTCTGTGGGGTAGCAAGGGGCAAAGCTGGGGCCTCCAGGGCTCCTGTGAGCCCATGAGGCCAACTAGGGTCCAGATATCCCCCAGAGCCCCAGCTCCAAGGCCAGGCTCCGGTTGTGCCTCACCTGGTCCCGCACAGATTTCTCGGGATCCACAGTGAGGCCACAGAGTACAGGCAGGATCTTCTGGGCGCAGTCGTTCATTGAGTAGAGGTTGTGGGTGGCAGCGAAGCCCAGAACACCGGCAACCCGAGATGGTGCAAACGGGTCCTTAGTGGCACGGCTGAAGGCTGAGGTGAGGACCCTGTGTCTGGTCTGGAGTGGGGCAGGAGAGAGGGCTCAAGTGTAGGGTCAGTCCAGGGGCCCAGAACTGCCAGGCCTCACTTCCCAGAGCAGAAACCACCCACAAGGCCCCCAGAGTCTAAAAAATGTAAATTAGTTACTAACAAATGGGGAACAATATACTTAAAACTCTGTATCTTGGCTTCTTGTCCCAGATTACTGAACTAAGTGCCTCTTGGTGACAGGGGCCAGAGCAGCAGCTGCCCTGGGGTGGGGGGTTGT